CTGATATTATTTTTTATTTTCTCTATTGGTACAACAATCGACGTTTTCCAGATGTTTGGAAAATCACCTTTCTCTAAGCTTTCATTCGCAATTTGAGCATAAAAGTATCCAGTATAAGTTATTGAGTCTTTAATGACTCCTTCAGATATGAGCTTTTTTCCATCAAATTTGTTTTTGAATGTGCTTACTATATTCAGAATGTCGATTGTAGATATTTTTTGGAGATTAAAAGTAGAGGAAATAATTCCCGTGATTACGAAGTCCCCAATTCCAGCACTAATATTTCTGCTGATTTCCATGACACTATCAATAAAACAGTTTTTAGTGAGTGCGCTATTTCACCCTGATGTGTGAGAAGTTGGTCGTTTATTAATATTCTTTTAAAGGCATTGGTTTCCTTAGACAAAGATATGCACTTTTTTAGGTGTTTCCACATAGCATTGCTGTCCCTGATATTACAGGTCTTCTTAACCTTTATTAACCTTTTGTATCTACGCTGGGTAATATTGTAATCATTCCAGTCGCCTGTTTGTAAAGCAATGTTGTAAAGATTCAGTTTATGTTTGTTGAGGTTTGCTAATTCAGAATCGTACCACTTATTCATAAATTTAACGCTGATTTCTTTGGAGTATGTCATAGTACTCATTACACATGACATGTTATTATATAGAAAATTTACCTTATTTTCGATACTCATATTCTTGAAATCACAATAGTTTAATTGTCGTAATTGGTTAACAAGACTATCGCTTGAGTAATATTTCCAAGAGGTTATAAGTTTTCTAACTCTCATTTTAAATATTTTTTCCAATTTTATTTTAAAATTAATGGTTTAGTGATCCGTAATCCTATTTTCGCCAATCCTGTACATGAAATAAATTCACTATTCGTAAATAACAAATCAATCAATGTCTCAGTGTTATCCCCTTTTCGAGTATAAAAATTTATTTTTTGCATATATGTATGTAATACTTCTATATTGGCAGTAAGCTAGCTTCTCAATGTGTAAGCATTTCGAAATCAAAGCGAGACAGTCTAGTACCGTTTTTATCAATGTATTGTGTACGTGAGTGCCGTTTTTGGGTGTGTGTTGTGTACATGTTTATTTATAAACGTATGTGTTCCTTTTCTTTCGAACGTGTTTATTGATATATCTGTACTGTAGTGTTTTCGGACGGTACTAGGTCTTACTGCCAATATAGGAGTATTAAATATATGACTTTTTGGTCCATAGCCAAATACCGAAATAGGCCAACTAACGGTTTGCTATAAGTGGTGCTTTTGTACAAGTTTATATTGAAATCCCCGATGAAGACTATATTATCACGCGTTAAATAGCTATTATTTAAAATTTCGTCGTAGATGTAATAAAGTCTACATCGCTCGAACTAGGCGAATGGTATATAAGACCTATTTGATATTTAGGAAATGTATTTTTAATTTTTAATATTATACACCACATATTTTTATACCCGAGCGCACTTGTGCACAAGGGTATTATAACTTTGTTCACATAACGGTTGTTTGTAACAGGCAAAACGAATCGAGATAGAAAAGACAAATGTATACATAAATGATCAGGGTGAAAAGAGAAATCGATTAAGCGGTGACTGTCTGTCCGTCCGTCCGTCCGTCTGTGCACACAATAACTCGGTTAAAAATTTAGATATCTTAACGAAAATTGGTAAGTTCACTTCTTTTGGGCGTAGGACGGATGGTGTTGGAAATGGGCGAAATTGGACAATAACCACGCCTACCTCCCATAAACCGGTAATTTTCAGAAATACGAAAACTGCGAAATTTTAGTAACTACTGAAGATAATTCACTCAAAATTGATATTTACAATGAGTTTTAGACGAAAAATAAGAACATTAATAATTTTTTGGAAAATGGGCGTAGCCACGCCCACTTATGGTTACATGTGTATATCTTTTGATAACCGCTGCAGCAATTTCTTCCAAACTTGGCACATTTGTTGGCCTTGGTACAGCATATCAAATGGCCGAAAATTTTTAAAATCGGACAATAACCACGCCCACATCCATATAACGATACTTTAGAGAAATACAAAATTTTCGATAAATCAGTAAATATTAAAGCTAATTTATTCAAAATTGATGCTTGCAACAATTCTTTACCAAGAAATACCTTTGTGATAAAATTTTGGAAAATGGGCGTGGCACCGCCCACTTATGATCACATATATGTATCTCGCTAACCGTTCTAGCAATTTGTACCAAACTCGGTATGGTTATTTTGCTTGCCACACAAATGCAAACTGTTGAAAATTGTTGAAATCGGATCAAAATTACGGCCGCTTTTCATAAAACGGTAAATTTCAGAAATGCTTGAAATTTCAATATTTCGAAATTTAAGGACGCTAATTTACTCATGTAGCGGTAGCTTGCGAAAAGGTGGAAAACATATATTTAATACTTGCGCCGGGTATTTAATGTTCGACTCCGCCCGAACTTAGACTTTCTTACTTGTTTTATTAAACGAATGGTTATAACTTGTTGCATATTCAATTGAATCCTGTACATATACTAAATAAAACACCGCCTGTGTGTGTGCCTGTCTTCTGTCGAACAACTTTCTGAGCAAAGAACCAAATGGGGTTTCTGTATTTCTACTAGGCGCTCTAGTTCATATTTGTTAGCAACGATACTATTGATATTTAAATAAATGCAATTTAATTCATTTAGTATTCGTTGCTATATTCGCGATTTGTTTTTTGGTTGAGTATATAATTTTTTATATGCCGGACAATCTATACTGAAAGCGTAATGGTTTACATCAACATCAATAACTTTTTTCTTAACCAACTCGCTACAGTTTACACATTTAACTATATTTGAGGTTGATTATTGGGAATCTGCTGCAGATAAGCAGAATTTTCTGGTAGAAAAATATTGATTTTTAACCATTCTATACCATTTCTTCGAAAAGTTATTTTTTTCCTGATATAAGATACATGGAAAACTTTGGGCGCTTTGAGCGACCTCTAAATATTTTTTGAGTTCATAATAAAAAAATAAGGGTATATTTTTTCGGTATGGAACAATCCTAGGGGGTGAGAGCATAAATATTCCGACTTTTGTAATCATTTGTGCAATTTATTGTTTTAAATTACCAAAAAGTAAATATATGTATAATCACATATTTAAGATTATTTTTATTAATTAGGTACAAACAAATAAAGATATCTTAGTATCCTTTTCAAAGCAACACTAAATGTTAAAAATAAATAACTAAATTCCCCAAAAGAATTCTTGGCTCTTTTTGAATGTATGGCAATTTTTTAATTAATTTAATATTTTTCAGATTTTTATACCCGAGCGCCCTGCACCTACCTGCTTACGAAGATGCTTGCACCTTTTTTATTATTATTATTACCTCCCGTTTATTAGCTCGGGATGTAACTATGTAATATTGATGCGCCTAAAAGATGCAGCGATTTCTATTCTCAAGTTACATACCTGATAACATTACGAATGGAAATTATAATAGCGAGGTTTTAGTTTTTTAGACTATAATTTTATTACTATCACACTTAACTTTGCTTACTAAGTAGTGTTCGCCACAATATGAATAGCAAAGTACAGGGCGTAAAATAATAACTGTGGCACAGGTTTTTCGATTGATTTAGATTTTGCGAAAAAAGTACTTTATTGTCAACTTTGTAAATATTTTACTTTAATTTTATGTTTTAAAATTTTAATCTTTATTTGCGTTTGCCAGAATTGGAGATGAGTACATGACTTTTTTCGGTGCATTTTTCCTTAGACTTTGTATAGCAAAAAGAAAAAAACTGGATAGGGTTCGTCGAATGAACGGCCTCGTAGTCACCAGTTCCGAGTCTATTCGATTGCTGAGTACGAGGCCTTATGTTGGACAAAAGGGGGAACATAAAGGACTCAAATGGGGAAATTAGCCTGTGGTTACAGAAGGTAAGTAATAAAGTAACCGATGAAGACTTGCGTGCCGCTTGCTCTTTTCTCTCAAAGTGTTTACCGCTGGTAAACCCAAATAAAGGTTAAAATTAAAAAAACTGCTTAATAAAATGTAAGTAAAATCTGTGGAAAATTAACAATGTACTGAGTTTGTCGTACAATCTATAAAGGACCTTCTTATTTTTCAAAAAAACCTGTGCGACAGTTACTATTCTACATGATAAAAAGTTAATAGCTGGAAAAAGGAGTACAAAAGAATGACAAAACTAAAAAGGGAGTACATTTTCAGAATTTTTTTTTGGGAGTACAGGGGGGAGTACATTGCAATAAAAAAGAGTGCCTTTACTGCCAAAAGCAGTACACCGGGCAACCCAAATCAGTGTATCGGATTTGCTTCAGAGTAAATTGCTGCCCTTTTCCTGCAAGTCAATATTGGGTTCTTGTGGAGTATAAATTCGATGATGTTTTCTGAAATTTCCGATTGCACAGCCGAAATCCCGATCGCAGGGAAAAAACTATTGGCTTCTTATAGAAAAATAATGATAGATTTTATTGAATCTCTTGGTATCCTGTAATGCAAAGAGGAAACACCGCTTGCTTGGTTGTTTTTCGTATATATTTCTATAGTGGCACTATTTAGTAATTTAGATCAAAAACCTCACATGTCCGTGAAAAACTCAGTCGATTAAGAGACAAATTTTAAACAAAACTGCCATCTTAATATAAAAGATCAAATTTTGGACTTGTACGGTTGTCGAACTTTTTGATTCAACTAATGGAGCCTTTATGCAGTTCCTGAAAAAAGGAGGCAACAAGAATGTGCATAATGTAAGTATGATTTAAACGCATACTCTAAGTATAAATACATCTGAAAGTAAATACGTACATACGAATATTATTACTAAGTATCTGTTTATATACATAGATATATAATATATATATAAATATGTTCACGGTATATTCACAATCTCTTATTCTTATTCTTACAATATCTTATTCTTTTATTCATAGTTGGTTAACCAAAGTCGTCAAGATTTTGCAGAAAAGATTTTTATGATCTTAGTTTATGAATATGTACTTCTACCAAAACGCATGTGACCGTAATCGTCGAATTGCTCCTCATCACCTCGTTTTCCGAACCGCATATGACCATAGTCGTCAAAACGCTTGGATCGACTGCTGTCCTCATTTTCCAACAAATCCAGTTCGAAAGGTACTTTAGACCGTGATGTTTGCAACATTTGCGGACCGAGACCGTATAGAGGCCGCACATTATGATAATTTCCGAGAGAACGTCTACCGGTGGCATCCCCATATGATCTCAGAGGCAATCCATTTGAGATCTCACTCCCGCCATTCGAACTCATATCACTTATTTCTGCCTTGTTTGTCCCTAAAGTATTTGCTGAAGTCGAATTAAATAAAACACAGAAAAACGAGATGAGAGTTATTAATTCTGCCACGCTAGACATGCTTTGGATTAGAAATATTAAAGGGTCTTGCGCTAAGGACACGTTTCTTCAATTGATTTGAATAACTAATGGCGATGCACCTTTTATAACGAATGAAAGATACAAGAATTTAAAATATATGTTTTTTTCTTTTTCGCCTTTTTAATATTTCACTGCATTTTTTAAATAGCGTCTTAAACTCTGCGCTTATCATTTATTTAAATTCAATTACAAGCTGTTTCTCGCAATTTTACTCTTAATTGACAGGTGTTCGCAGCTCCAGAAGAATATTGATACATAATAGATTGACGAGCAAGGGCGTTAGTTGTTCTTATATGCTACGGAGTGCTAAAACGTTGTACATACGGGGCACAGTGGAGCGTTTGATCAACTTATCCGGACAAAATTCGTTTTCCAATTTTAAGATAATTCAATATTGTTTAAGTCAAGAGATGTACATAGACCTACAAAATGCGAACATTTTAATATTTAGCTTTCATTTTGACATTTTTCACATGTTTTTCGTGAAAAAGAGGGGAAAAATTACTTATAGTATCGCCCAGTTGTCGAAATTCGACCACTTTATTTTTTTACACACTTTTTCAATTTGCTTGTTATCAATATAGAGTTAAAAAGTGCTTCATGTTGATGATGATTTTGAAGTATATTGTCACTCTGAGTATGAGGCAAATCGGACCATAAATGCGGGTTGTTCCCGAGTCATAGATAATTAATAGAGGTATGCACTGCGACCAACAGGTCGCACAAAAAAAAACATGGATATTTTGGACGGCCAGATGCTGTTAAGCCTTTGAACGGTGACAGGTAATAAGATCAACGGAAATAAGGTCAATTGACTTTATTTCCCACCCTGGTGCGAAATAAAGTCAATTGACATTATTACCTTTTTAAAAACGAAATAGAATCAATTGACATTATTTCTCTTTCAAACATTAAATTTGCTTAGCTTTGCGGCGGCCCGCGTACCCCGCGCAACCGGCGCGCACACCACGTCACGCTACGCCGCGGCCCCTCGGCCCCTTCCCCGTCAACCGCCGTGCTGTAACGCAGGTAGATTTATTTTTTTTATACGTTGAAATATAATTTTTATATATTTTAAACATCGAGGGCTTATATTCAATAATACCCTATATCTGCACACTTTTCACAAAGATGAGATTCTGATATAAAAATCCACCTAAGCTTTAACTGTCATCGGTGATATTAATGCTATCTTTATAACGACAGGTAATAAGGCCCAGATGGTTTCTAAAATCTCAAATTAGTTTTTGTGCAAATTGCAGATAGAGGGTATTAATGAATTCAAGTCCTCGATATTTCGCATTTTTATATTTGTAAGTTACTTGGCTCAAACCGTGCCATTTGTTCCCATTTTACTTCAAATGACACTTAATTTTTCAATTTGGCACACAGTGCCAAAATGGCACTTTTGTAAAAAAAATAACGTTTCAATACATTTTTGTGAAATCCTATGCGTGCTTTATTTTATTGCTAAATGTTAATGATTAAAAGGAATTACACCTTTTTGGCATTTTTATTTTTCTATTTGGCACATTTTGGCACTTTTTTATCCTCAATAAGGCATCTCATAACTAAGGATAATTGGCAGCCCTGATTGGAAGATTCCTGCTGTGTTTTGGGGCAACAACTTGTCTGCAGTAAAAAAGCATATAATTTGTGTTTCAAAAGTGTGTGAAAACCAATCAATTAACTTATATGATCGCGGTTCCGATATTAGATAATCAATCATAATTGTTTATACCTGCATTTTGGCACATTGGCTCGTTGAATGTGCCATCTAATAAATAGTGTCGTCGTTCTCCTTAGCTGCTTTTAAATGATGTCGTCACAAATTGCTGGCGGAGACATGAATACAGTGTAAGAAAATTCTTTTTCTATAATTCAATTCCGAATTCATTCAAAATATGCTAATTTAAAACACAGAATTCTTTCAGTGTTCCTCCGGGGTTTTTGGACATGGACTGTTTCGTCAATTTAATAGTGTTCGCTTTATTTTTGTGGAAACGAAAAATGTTTTTCAAGTTATGGATCATTTCTACACTCTTTCTTCCAATATTTCTCGTATTCCAGCTGTGCGCAGGTGTTTAGTTTTTCGCATCGTGTTTTTACATATTCGTAATTTAAATTTTTTTAATAAAAGCAACTGTTGGTAGTTCATGATTGTGTGGAGATGAATATCACAACACTGAGTATTTGGCAATAACCTTTTTCATCTATTAAAAAACAACACTTACGGGGCAATGTTTATTGTAAGAACAACATTTTTTTCTATGAATCGACATACTTTGAGCATTGTTGACGCTATTTCCATTTGAATGAGGAAATAGCATCAATGACTTTATTTTCAAATTTGTGTTTACTTTATTTCGCTTTTGAAAAGGTAATAATGTCAATTGACTTTATTTCGCACCAGGGTGGAAATAAAATCAATTGACCTTATTTCCATTGACCTTATTACCTGTCACCCTTTGAACACCTTTGTAGAAGAGGAAGACGAGGAAAAAGCCAACTGGCCAAATCATTAATTTAATTTATTTAATTTGTTTACTTAAAACTTTTCATAACTAACATTTCATAATTATATTTTTTATAATTTCTTTTTCAATGTTTCTTCAAAACCAACACTGAAAAAATTGGTACATAAAAAATGAGAAGTAAATTAATATTAAGCTGGAAAACGCAAGTTTTGTATTATGATTGTTTTCTTTTCAAATAAGATTTATTGAAGAAACTGAGAAGCATATTATAGATCAAACAGAAAGCAAAAAAGACATAGTTTTGTAGAAAATATGTTCAAAAAGCATGGAAAAAAAATTTCCAACATTTTGCTTCATAAGCACTACAAAAATTTCCTCTATAAATTTTTTTTTAAATTTTAATTGTTGCACAGGTCCCTAGCAATAATTTGGCTTTAACAGATTGAAAAAATAGCAATTAGTCGACGAGTTATAGCCATAAAACCATATAAACAATATGCTGAAAATCGGCATTTGACTGCAAAGTTCGAAGGTCGATAAAAAAAAATTCGAACTAACATAAACAAACGCCGCGATACGGGTCTTCTAATATAGCCTCTATTTTCACCCCTCACACTCAGAATCGACGTAACTTTTGCTAACCTGAATTTGTTCCACAGTGTAATTATATTCCTATATTTACCTGTATTAAAGTATATTGTATACATATATACATGTAAGTGCAGGCCCGACTATAGGGTGAGGGAGTTTCCCTCCGGGCCCTGGTTTGTCCTAAAATTTAGCTGGAAGATAAAAATTATAAAATTCTGTTAAGTTGATAAATTTGATTAATTAATTTTCATTTAAATTCCAATAAATAAATGCAAAATCGCATGGCTAGGTACGCATGTAAATATAGTGAGGTCATTTCCAAGCTAGTCAAAACAAGCGCCAATCTAGCCTAATGTGAAACATAGAAAGGTTTCCCCACATTCCGAAGTCAACAGATGTTTGCTAGTCTTAAGATCAGCGTTGCCGCTTTGGTAATTTTTAACCAAAATTGGTAATTTTTTTCTTTATTTGTCAAGTAAAGTTTGGTAATTTGGTAATTTATTTTTCAATTTGGTAATTTTTTCCATTCGGCCTTACATGTCAAATAGGTCAATATTGGTTCTGATTCCACATTAGAAAGTGGACCGTAAGCGTTTCTTTTATATCAATACCAGGTAATCCTGAAAGTTTCGCAAGGCGAAAGGTGTTCCAGGGTTCCTTGGCTACTAGAATGGTGTGTTTTTTAACAAACTGCTTGAAAGTGGCTATTGCTAAGTATATCCACCGTCTCCTTACCTGGAAGGTTTTGGGTGGTCCTACCTTTCCCTGTCAGTTCGTCAGCTTTTCAATTACCATCAATTTTCCGGTGTACCCGGCAACCATACCCTGTAGGGAAAACACGAACTAGTGAACCAGATTTCTAGTTCAGTACTAGTTCTTTTTTGCCAAAAACGAATCAGTCCGATAGTAACTAGTTCCGCACTAGTCCAAAAGCAGTGAAATGTGGTACTTTCACTAAACTATTCTATTTCAAATTTTAAAAGTAGGGAAGGTAATCATTATGAGTAAAATAATTAAAATCAGCATTTAATCATTATTTTATGAATTATTATTGAGTTTTATTTTTTCGCTCAAAAGGAAATAATTATTATTTGATTTTTATTTTTGGGATTACAAATAATGATTATTTTGTGATTATATTGTGATGAGATTATGATTAATTTTCAGTTTATTTTTCCACTTAAAAGTAATAATAATTTATAAAATTTAAAAGGCCATAAAGACGCAACCTACTGAAATGTTTATCTGAAAAGTTTGGGTCTTAGTTGGGTTAGTTTTCGGTAATTTTTTATAAAAATATGGTAAATTCTAAAACAAAATCCCCAAAAAATCAGAGTTCCAAACCTTGTGCAAATTTAAGAAAATTCTGCAAAATTTCATTAAAATAATTCACTTTCTATTTACGCTCTCTAGAAAAAGTTTTGACTGAAAGTTTTACTGAAATTTTTACCTGAAAATTTTGGGTCTGATTCCTTTTATAAGGGTGCGGCTACCTCTCAAAAGGATACGTCTGTAATCACGCTGGTATAGTTTTTGAGTTGCTTAATAATCATTATACTTAGCGATTCCATAAACAAAGGCCAAGATCATGAAGGACAATTGAGAAAGGCAATGCAGTTGCAGAAAAAGAGCCATTTAATAAAAAAGTGTCAAAATAATTACCACTTTCTCTCTAAATTTATTTAAAAATGCAAGCCACCAGAGCTACCTTTTTTTTAAGAAAAGACAAATTAATTTTTTTTATGCAATCCACCACAGCTACTTTAACACAGTCAGTCAATAAAGTTTAGGTACAATACGAGCAACCATTGTTTTAATATTTTAGTTTTCGGTAATTTTTTATAAAAATATGGTCAATTCTACAACAAAATCCCCAAAAATCAGAGTTCCAAACCTTGTGCAAAATTTAAG